AGCTGCCGTTTGATTCAGGTTCTTCAAGGGTATTAAGCTGCGGGGGTTCAGTCGCGGACGAGTCAGCAGCGTTTGGCAGCAGGAGGCCGGACCAGCAACTCAACCCTCATTGGGCTCTGAGTGGGGATTCCAGCACCGCTGCAACACCACTCAGCCCTGATTGGTTGTTCCCTACATGTCAATTACTGCATGCCTGCCAATGAACATGTAGGCTATAATCTGACCCTGAGGCTAACCTCGCCTCCCTGTTGCTCTTCATTGTCAGAACACACTGTTCCCCCCCCCACCGCCCCACCCTCTTTTTTTTGTGAAACGTGGTTATCTAAACAAAATCCCGAATCAGAGATCTACGGGTGGCTCATTTTGCAAAATGGCCTCTTACTCTGTCTTTACTGGTTCCTGTCACAAAATGGACGAGTGTTTAGGGTGAGATCGTGTGGCTTTGTTAGAGTCCGTGCCTCTAGCTGCCAGCCGGAACAATGAGCAGTGTGCCTGGGCGCCGGTTTGGGGAAGGGTGGGGCAGTTTCTGCCTGCTTGTTTCGGTTTAGGTGACATGGGGGGGGGGGGAAGCACCAGACGCCACTTGATGATGTCACTAAGTGCAGAAACCGCGTGGCGGACTCCAAGCCCCGGAGAATGTGTGCGATTCGATGCTTGGGCTGTTTATATCCGCCCGCCATGCGCGTGTGAGCGTGTCTGGGTGTGATGTATCGGCGTCCTCGCACCATGGTGCATCTCCGTGCGGGAGCGCTCGCATGCGTGCATGCGCGTGTGTGCGCGGCTGCATGTTAGCGCATGCCGCCAGCCCCCGTCTCCCGCGCCGCAGCTGAAAACCAGTCAGACCTCGTCGGTGCCCGGCGCTCGGCACGCAGCAGAGCTCTCGCCGGCTATGGAGCGGCCCCAACCGCGATGGTGACCTGCCTGCCGCACTTGCGCAAACTCAGCTGGAGCACCAGCTACCTGGTGAGACCGCCGGCGCCTCCTGTGTGTTGAAGCGTGTAAAAAAGTGAGAGTGGGGGCTACGATTTCGGTGACGGAAGCTCGTCGCCCCCACCTTCTTCATTTATCATGCCCCCGGCATCCTGTATCTCAGTGCTTACTAGCCGTAAGCAAGGTTGTCTAATTGTCTTCCCGATTGCCTGGTCAGGGGGCTGTACAGGGACCCACCCGAAAGTGAAAAGGCGAGGATGTGTGCTTGAAATTGGATTCCGGCTCTTTTTGTTCTCACGGGTGTGTGTGTGTGTGTGTGTGTGTGTGAGAGTGTTCACAGCAGCGCCGGGTAAATGTACGCCTGCCTCACTCCCCGCCTGGCACACGCCAAAGGCAGCACCACACGAGCATGTGGGTTCAGTCACGGGTTCTTCTCCGGGTTCCATGCTGGGTTTCACCTGTATGATTTGTGAGGATCTGGGTTGTCTTAAGGTGGATTTATTTTGCCAGCCATGACCTTGTTTGGGGTGGGGGAGGTGGCACACGGAAGGGAAAGGATTCCTGAATGAGAGAGGGGGGGGGGGATGAGGGGCTGTGCTGGTTAGGCAAAAAGGCAGAGAGAAAGAGGGGGGAGTGCAGTCATTGTTTCATTTCTAGGAGCTCAGCTAGACAAAACACAAAACTATTAAAATCCTTGTATGCTGGTGGGGATCATTGCCACAGTCAGAACAGGGGAGGGAAGCTGCCGGCCCCCATCACTCCATCCCTGTGGTGTGGTCTCTGTCCCTGCCGTGTCCTCCCTATTCCACCCGTCTCCTCTCTGTCCCTGCCGTGTCCTCCCTATTCCACCTGTCTCCTCTCTGTCCCTGCCGTGTCCTCCCTATTCCACCTGTCTCCTCTCTGTCCCTGTACTGTCTTCTCTGTCCTCCCAATCCCTGCTCTCTCCCCCCTGTCCCTTGTCCATCCTCTCAGTCCTCTCTAACCTCCCTGTCCCGGTTCTTTCTTCTCTATCCCCCCTGCCGCTCCTCTGGCTTTGGTGTCTAACCTCATTTAACTCGCCCACACTGATTCGGTGTCAGCACCAGGCAGCCTGGATCCCTGTGGCGCATGGCGGGGCAGGGTGGGCCCTCGGGAAGCCCACAGTGACTCCCAGGGCACTCTCCATGCCTGGGGGGTGGTGTTTGGGGGGGGGGGGGGGGGGGGGGGGGGGGGGGGGGGGGGGGGGGGGGCTGGTGGTGGCGTCGGCATCCAGATGGGGGAATGAGATCAGACAGTGGGAGTCATTCAGCCAGAAGGGAGGAGAGAGACATCAGACTCAGGCTCAGCGCCGGAAACTCCACCCGGGTCGGAGTCGAGTCCGCCTCGCCACTCGGCCGTCACTTGGGTCGTCTCGCCGGTCGCTCACGGTAATGCCCTCCCACCTCCAATGCAACGCCATGATTTGGACTGTACAGCTTACCGCCTAGCAACTGGACGTTCTGGGTTTGGATTCGGATCACGGGCACCCATGTGGGCAGCCGCCGTGCCCCCGTACCCGGCACCTGCTGGCACCGAGTGGTCCTACGAGAGCACGGTGGGTGTGGACTGTGGCGCCCCCTACCCGCGCTGCGTCTGGCTGGCTGTAGTGCACAAGGCGTCTGCCGGGGCATCCCTGACTCCGTCTCGTGTTGGGGTGCCTAGGAAAGACTGCCAGCCACCGGTAAGACCATAACCCCCCCACCTCATCTTGGTCTCTTTGAATAATGTTGTATGTAACGTGGGTTCATGTTTCCACGGTGACTTCGTTGGTGGCGCCGTTTACGTAACGACCCTGTCGGATTCGCCGTCACAGAGGTGGGAGAAGCGGAGCTGCTTCCCCCCCCCCCCGTGTCGGGATGCCGCCGTTTCTGCTGCGCTGTCGGTGCCGTACGTGCTGGCCGTGCCGTTCGAGGAGTATGGGTGTAGGGGAAGGTCATGTGATCATAATATGTCTTGTCATGCGTGTGAGACGTGTACAGGGATACAGGGGTCCCTTTTCCTCTGGGTCCTGCGGTTTCCTTTGATTGTAGCGCCTGATTGTGCGTCTGTGTGTGTGTCTGTGCAGGACTGGCATCCCATCCAGGGTGTCCCCTGCCTCCTGCCATCTTCCTGCTCACTGTGACATGTGACACTGTACTGGATAAGAGGATACGGAAGATGGATGGTTAATCATCCATTTCGTCATGTAGCTCTGTATATACTGCGATTTATTTGTCTGCTGTTGGACAAAAATGTGAATAATCTACAGTATGTGACGTATGTCAATGCGAAGAGTTGATAGAGGATTTCCACTGTGGTAGAGCGGGGGGAGCGGGGGGAGCGGGGGGAGCGGGGGGAGTGTCTCTCCCACACACCTGCTGTCAGCTGGCTGAATTGATGGCCTATTCCCCTCCCCCAACTGAACAGCCCTGACACAGAGACCCTGTGCAGCTCTGAGCTACAGGCATCTGACAGCCGGGTGGAAGCCAGTGCCCTCTGACACCCAACCAGGCTCGAATGTGAGAACAGAATGTTCCAGAAAGGCGTTCATGGATTTGTGTTACGGAGGCCCTTAGGATCAGCTTGGAACACCTCATTCGAGTCTCATAGCGGAGGGTCAGACAGGGTGTAAATGTTAAGTATATATTGTGCATATCTGATTTATTTGCCATTTTTGATTCCAGTGCTTTTTGTATAGACGTGACCTGGAGCTTCTCAAGGGTCATTTTGGGAAATGATTTTTCATAGTATGCTTGTAAATGCCTTGCCTGCGGCTGGTGCTGTATTCGCCATTTGAATGAATTTTCTATGCAGCCTTTTTGGGGGGTGGGGGGTGGAGCCGTCTCTTTTGTTAGAGGAGGCCAATCAGAAGAGAGGGAGACGTCTCCGGGACTCACGCGGATTTTTGGGTGACGATGTCACACACACGGAGCCAGTGATATGTTACAGAGGGATGTACACACAGGCTGACTGACCCTGAAATGGTGACAGAATTGCAGTCGGGCAGATCCCCAGACAGACTCACAGGCAGACAGGCAAACAGGCACTGGAGAGGGCAGACTGTCTACGGGGCCTAATAACGTGTGAGCTGAGATGGGCTCAGCAACACCAGCACTAAAGGGCCGTCGGTGGTCCACAAGTGTCTTGTGGGAGCTTAACCCAGGCTGGCCCCCATGTCCTGTCTCTTCCTGCTCTCCCTCATTCCTCACTCTCTCTCCCTCTCTCTCTCCCTCCATCCGGCCCGCTCGGCACGTGCCCGGACACGTTCGCCGAGGACACCGTTTTTCCTGGAATTCCATTTTCTTTTCCTCCGCCGCACTTTCTCTCTCTCTCCCCCGTCTCTGTCAGTAAGGCTGTATGCTCCCGCGGAGAAGGTGCTTTGCGCCATGTGGAGGCTGTGTGGAAGAGGGGCGGGGGCCCTACTTGTGGCTTAACCAGCTAGGTCAGAGATCGGTTTTGGCAGGGGGGGGGGGGCAAGAAAATGCGTGTTTCCCTCTCGCCCCCCCCGTCCCGTCCAACAACGCTGGCTGCGTGATGTCCCTGGAAGATGCTGCCAGTGTCAAGTTAAACCCTCTGCTGTTCTTGAAACCGATATTAATCCAGTGGTGGGTATTGGTGCTACAAAACAAAAAAATGAACTATTAATGACTCCACATGGAAAGGAGTCTGAACCTGTGTAGTTTCCCGATCCTTCAGGGCCACTGATTGGATGGATCACCCCCCCCACCCTTCAGGCCACACCCCCTTTTCCACATTGAAGTCCAGACTACTAGTCAGGCAATATGGCTGCCCATGGGCTTGATTGTTTCAGCTTGTAACCAGGATATAAATAGCTTTCCTGGATATTCCTGACTAGATATTCCAAGACTCAGTGGCGTGTGTAACTGCCTAAGAACAAAGTCACATTTTGGTTAACGGGGGGTTTGAAAGTGCGCAATCACATTGAAATGAGAGGATCATGCGGTCTGTTTGGAACTAACCAATCATGTGACCTCTCTGTACTGAAGCCAAATAGTAAGATGAGCCTTGATTCGCCTGAGCCTCACGAGGCCCTGTACTTCTCTCTCTTTCAGGCAAAGGGGCGGAGAGATGGCCTCTCGCCGTCCAATGAGAACGTGCGGCCGGGCGAGGGCGTGGCCTGGCAGGGCCCGCGCACTCTGGTGCTCCGCAAGAACGCGCAGGGATTCGGCTTCACGCTGCGGCACTTCATTGTGTACCCGCCAGAGTCCACCATGCGCACAGGGCCCAAAGTGAGTCACGAACATGGGGGGGGGGGGGTCAGACCTGTGACAGGCTCTATATGCTATCTGCCCCAAGCTTATGGAGGGAGAAGAGCCTGTGTTTTACTAGTGTAACAGGTACTGCACAGGACTGTCCTTCCAACAATGTTATAGCTAAATATCTATGGATTAAATGTGTGCCAAACACCTGAAATGTGTAGTTAATATTGATATGTCTACCTTACTGTTAAGTCCAGAGGTGGTTAATTGAGGAATGTTAAAGGTTCAATTTGCCCCCCCCCCCCCCCCATGACGCCAGATGGAATATTCCTCCCCTGCAGAAACCATGCTGCAGTATGTGGAGGGTCCAAAAACACAGAGCTACACGGGGGAGGCCAGAGGAGCTCATACAGTTCCAGTTGCTTTATGGATGGGGTGGGAGCTATGACAGAGTAACAGAGCACCCTATTCTTGGTCCAGCAGCAAGGGGTGAGCGGGTTCCCGATATAAACCAGGCTGGTACCGACAGTCACGGTGCCGGGTCGTACCAGCGCTTGCTCATTGTGTCCCTGTCATGTGGCGGGAGGCAGCTGGGGTCCCGGTGTCCCCTCAAAGCTCGGCTCAAGGACAGAAAGGCTCTCAGACAGACCGAGATGGCCGACTCGCATCTCAATGCCCGATTCAGTTCAGTTCTCATTTTTAAAAACGACATAAGCGTCATTAAGTGTCCTTTGCAGCACAGTGGCTCCAAAATACCAAATAAACTAATAAGAAGTAAGAACAACGTCACCAGCAGATAAAACAGCAACTGACTGAATGATACAATAATATAATTGAAACAGTACAGCTTTTATCCCAAGATGAGAAAACAAAAACTCCAGCCCTGAAGTGGTCATCACCTTTTATGGTCTTCGCCACCTTTGATGGTCTAGATCACCTTTGATGGTATAGATTACATTTGATGGTCTAAGTCACCTTTGATGGTCTAGGTCATATTTGATGGTCTAGATCACCTTTGATGGTCTTCGTCACCTTTATTGGTCTAGTCACCTTTGATGGTCTAAATCACATTTGATGGTCTAGGTCACCTTGGATGATAAAGCTCCATTTTATGAAAATACAAGTAATTTCCGAGCAGAGTAATCACACTAAGAATGATTCATTTCTCATTTTGGGTTTACAGAAAATTCAGTAGTGTGATTATACAGGTTAAGTTATGTGTATTCCCTTTGCCGGAGATATCATTTGTTGCCATACACTGTTAATGTTGAGAATCCATCCACCCTTTTTGACAGAGCTCAAGGATAAGTGTGAATGATCTCTTATCCATTAGTTTCCTTCTGGACCTTTAGATGAACCAGTTGCCATGGCACTAAGGATAGCCAACATCCATCGCTGTGTTTTCTTCTTCGCACTCTTACCCGTAGCAGTTGTTCCACATTCCGATCAATGTCCAACTGAAAGTGGTTCATTCTCTTAGGATTAAAATTTGAGGGTGTGGCACAGTTAGGGAGACGGTCCCCCCCCTCCCCCACCCCACCTTTACCCATGCCTGCCCCCACTACCCCCAGGGCCCTAGTCAGAGCAGCTCCGCTGCACCTCCCACACCGCCCCTGCCAAACAGCGCAGCCTTTCTCATTTTTGACTTGAATGAGCCCAACTCCACTCAGCCCTGCTCCAAATACTCACATCAGCTGTGTGCGCGGATGAGGCTCTGTGTGCGCGAATGAGGCTCTGTGTGCGCGGATGAGGCTCTGTGTGCGCGAATGAGGCTCTATGTGCGCGAATGAGGCTCTGTGTGCGCGGATGAGGCTCTATGTGCGCGGATGAGGCTCTGTGTGTGAGAATGAGGCTCTGTGTGCGCGAATGAGGCTCTGTGTGCGCGAATGAGGCTCTGTGTGAGCGAATGAGGCTCTGTGTGCGCGAATGAGGCTCTATGTGCGCGAATGAGGCTCTGTGTGCGCGGATGAGGCTCTGTGTGCGCGAATGAGGCTCTGTGTGCGCGGATGAGGCTCTGTGTGCGCGAATGAGGCTCTGTGTGCGCGGATGAGGCTCTGTGTGCGCGGATGAGGCTCTGTGTGCGCGGATGAGGCTCTGTGTGCGCGGATGAGGCTCTGTGTACGACTGAGCAGCCTGCCAGAGCCTGATTATAAAAGCTTGTGCGCCCTTGTCTTTTTAATTAAATCAAATATCATGTCTGCTGTTTCTCTCAGTAATGTAATTGCCCTTTATTTTATTCCTGGCCTGCTATATTTACAGCCTCTGGTTTGGTTGCTAAATATTGCCCTCTGCTGTTGGACTGAAGGAAATCTCCTAACACTGGATAAATAAGTGCTGTTTTATGAAAAAAAACTTCATAACAAAAGAAGATATATAACCATCCATCCGTCCATCTATCCATTTTTTGTAGCCATTCGTCCTATTCAGGGCTGTGTGGAGACTTATAAGTAGAACAAAAAATATTTAAAAAGTGATTCAAGTCGCTTCAAATAATGTACTGTATTCACCTTGAATTTATTTATTGAATTTATTCATTTGTTAGAACATAAGATGTATATTGTGTAGCAAACGACAAACAAATACAATAAAATCAGATAAAATAAGAGTGCAGAGAGCAGTGCAGAGAAGATCCAAATGTTCTGTTGAACATTATGGCCCCAGTACTGGTCCTCCATCAGCCAATATCAAGTTCTTAATTAACTTTGAATGAGAAATAAATGTTTCTCTGAAATAACTTGAAACTGACAAAAGTTTAATGGCATCCCTTATTGTTTATTCCGTATTTAACACAAATCAGACTTTGCTTTTGATTATTGATTCAGTTAAATATTTTATATAGTTAAATGAAAATGGCACAGACAAAAAGGATGGTACCCTTAATTTAATATTTTGTGGCCCCACCTTTTGCAGCAATCACTGCCAACAAGCGATCTCTGTGCTTCACAGTGAGACGTCTGCATTTGCCAACAGGCAGTTTGGCCCACTTCCTGAGCAAACTGCTCAAGCTGTCTCAGGTTCGAAGGGTGGCGTCTTCACACTGCAATTTTCAGATCTTTCCATAGATGATCAGTAGGATTAAGATCTGGGCTCATGGAGGGCCATTTAAAAGAGTCCAATGTTTTTTTTTTCTCAGCCATTCCTGAGTGCATTTAGCTGTATGTTTTGGGTCATTATCCTGTTGGAGGACCCAAGACCTGCGACTGAGGCTGAGCTTTCTGACACTGGGCAGTATGTTGTGATCCAGGATTCCTTGGTAGTCTTGAGACTTCATTCTGCCATGTACAGCGGAGAGTACGGGACCCCCGCATTGTCCTTGGGGGTTGCCACAGTACAGATGCAGCAAAGCAGCCCCAAAACAAACCCAAG